AAAAATAAATAAACATTGAAAAAAAAAATTAAAAAAAATAAAATTCATCCGAGTAAATGTGAAGATCTAATTGGCTTTATCAAATGATTCATGAATCCGGCAATATCCCATCTAGAAAATAGAGGGGTGTTCTGAGGAGTTGTACAAAATGGAAAGTTTTTATGGGAAGGAGAGTGGAGCAATAAAGGTATATGCAAAAAAAAGAAAGAAAGGAAGGAAAGGGCAGGGGTCTCGTCTTCCTCTGTAGGAAGGGAACGGAGGGGACCCAGCTGATAGATTTCCTCATTGGTGCTTATCTGAAAATTCCTGATTGGCAGGTGAAGACATTTCTGGGGGAGGTTGAACCTGCAGTTAACTTAGTTATGAAGCTCTCGTTTGATGACTTGGTCTGGCTGGAGTAACACCATGTGAGGCCTGTGGTTTTCTTTTTGGCAAACTATACTTTCATTTCTCCTGTGATTTTAGAGGAGGTGGACCCTTGGTGTTGGAGACATTGATTCGGGGCCTCACTTGGGCCACTTGGGAAGTGGAAATGATAACCTTCCTTTCAGCCTTTGCTTATCCAGCTGCGTGGTGCCTAAAATGGAAGGGTTACAGTGCTTGCATAAGTGAGCTTCTGATTCTCTGTTTAAAAAGAGAAAGTGATTTTAAAGACAGTTCAGGGGAAAAAAGAAGAATCCATGATCACATGGTGGCCACACAGTTAAGCTTTAAGGTCAAAATGTGTTCCCCTTACTGGAAAAATGGATTCATTCTCTCCTAATCTGGTTTTACCTTGGCACTATCAATTTATCACGTGCAGAGAAGTCTAGTCATTGTTGTAGGTGTGTTGCAATCTTCTCAAGGGAGGATGTATTTAAGATCTTTTTTGGGTTTGTTATAAAGGAACTTTAGGGTCACATATATAATCATGTCATAAGGTAATTGTGGCCTCTACCACGATATCATTAGATTCTTCTCATGCTTATGGAGTGAAATATTTGGCTGCCGTGTATACAGATACATTTAAAACCTCCTGAAACTTGGGGCACCCCGGTGGCTCAGTTGTTTAAGCATATGACTCTTGATTTCAGCTCACGTCACGATCTTCTGGTTCGTGAGTTCGAGCCTTACATCCAGTTCTGCGCTGACAGTGCAGGGCCTGCTTGAGATTCTTTCTCTTTCTGCCCCTCCCCTTTGTGTGCTTTCTCTCTCAAAGTAAATAAGCAAACTTAAAAAATAAAATAAAACCTCCTGAAACTGAAGACCTGCCAAAGGTTCATCAGATTTTAGGGATCTATTAATATTTTCTTCAGCCTAATTCGAGGATGAGAAAGAGGAAAAGGAGTTGAGACAATCCCTTATAGTTTTCAAGATCTGACCTGTGTTTTAGGGACCAGTGCTTTTTATTTCTTCTAAAAGAAAAATTATTTTTTCCATGAACTCACAGTACTATGGAAAAATTATATTAATTCCATAGCATTATTTCATTTTACAAATGAAGTATGTTAGTGTCAGAAGTCAAAACTGAACTACTTTTGTCCTTGTGTTCTGGTATTTCAGGGCTTTCTTGGCTTGAATATACCCAGGAATTAGGAATTCAGTGCAAGAGTTGTGAGGATTTATGGCTTCTCACTTATTACTTTTCTTACGTATGTGTGTGTTTATATAATTTTTCATATACACACACATCTGTATATTTGGTATTAAAGAAAGGATGTGTCCCTACTCTCCCTCCCCCACATCACCTCCTGTACATCAAGCCCTACCTTTGTTGTGCGTAACCATCTCCCTCACTTGCTATGGGTAGAGTTTTGCAAGGTTGCAGAGTAAGACCTGTCAGCTGACGCTTGCTCACATGAGAGCCATTAAGAGGGTGGTGTGGCCAATGTCAGAACAACCTTGCAGCTGAAGGCAAGTCACTGCATTTGCCCAGAGCCATATGAATGGGTCTTGTGACCAATTAATTGACTACTACATAATCTCCAACAGGGGAGCACAGATGGAATGAGTCAGCCCAAGCTGCTCAACCTGTTGAGTGTTTTGTCTTTTGCTGACCCAGAGTACAAGCTTAGGAACAAAAGTAGGAAGTGGGATTTGGACTTGCCTGTTTTAATGGTCCTGCTGAGAGCATATTTTATAGCATTGGATACATCTGACTTCCTAATACTTTGGCAGGCTAATTTACGTAACAAATGAATGTTCCTTTTTTTTAAACTTTTGAAAGAGGAAATTAGGAGGCTGCTGCCAAGTAGCTTGCCTCACCTACTGTATAGGGAGTACAGGGATTACTTAGGACGGCTGGTCAGTGTGGACTATCCCTCAAACAGCAAAGGATCTTCAACATTTGTGTCCACGTCCATGTTGATAGTCAGGATAAACCGGAAGAAAGTTCATACACTCAGGACATGTGTGGCGGCACTACGAAGACAGCAAACCGGCCAGGGGCCCGGCAGGATTCAGCCAGATGTGTGTGCGGTGCTGGTTCTGGTGCTGCGAGGACTTACAAGACGCTTTTACGCACAAAGACTCGAAAACGTGCCAGGGTAGGAAGGGGCACTGATCGCTCGGAACTCAGCAACAGGTTTGAAACTTCAGTTCTGTTTTAAAATCTAAGAGAAATGTTTATTTAATTCACTGTGTACCAAGCGGGATGAAATTCTGTTGATCCAAAACTTGTTTGTTAAGAATACTTTGTTTTAGTAGGACGTGGGGCCATTGATGGGTGTGCGGAAACAAGTCCTTTCCAGTACCAAAAAGGTGCAGGCATGGTTCTTCTTATTTTTTTGACTGTTTCAATTCTACCACCCATCTGCTTTCTTAACTTTTCCTTACTTATCCTGGAGCCAGCTCGCAAGAAATGGTTACATCCTTGTCCTGTGTTGAAGTTTGAACAATACTATTCACAGAGGTCATCAGGAAAACGAGTTGCGGTCCTGAGGGTCCACCACAGTTGGTAGATGGGGCACAGGACTGGATGTTATCTCTTAGTCTGAATGGTAGGTGGAGGCAGGATGGTGGGAAAGAGCCCAGCTTCTTCTGGCAAATTATTTTCGTGAGAAGGATTGGAGTTATGCCGGAACTAATTTTAAGAGTGGAGCTTACTTAAAGAGAGTAACATTATACTTGCTGTATTCTTTTAGGTTCATTATGTCATCCATTTTGGAAGAATTTATTAATTTAATTAGTAATAGCTCTTAATTGAAACGTATTTATGAAGAATTTTATTGCATATCAACCAAAAGGAAAAATGCAGTGAGAATCTGATGTAGATAACTACTAAAGAGAGTCAGTTAAAAGTTAAGCTCTGATTCTCATGATTAGTGTAAAAGTAAGTTTCTAAATTCACTTACATATTTTTTTCCTTATAAGAAGTTTTCTTAAAATTATGTTTTATAAACTTTTTCCATCAATATTGTTCTTGGTTGGTTGAAAATAATCAGGATATAGTTTCTGTCATATAAAAATCATTGTCTTTCTTTAGTAGAAACTTAATAAAATGGTATATAATCTACTCCAGTGTAAACCCAGTAGATTGGAGAGCTAGGGAGAAGTGTGGAAATCATTTTATAGGGGCTGGGTCACATGCTATCCACTCAATTAAAGGGAGATATTTATAGAGGGAGCAGTAATGAATGATGTGGTACATTAGAAAAATACATTTGAGTGTTAAGATAAGAATTTCACTTTTGTACTTTTTTTTAGTTAATTTTTTTTTTTTTTACAATTTATTTATTTTTGGGAGACAGAATGAGACAGAGCATAAGCAGGAGACGGGGAGAGAGAGAAAGAGACACAGAATCCAAAGCAGGCTCTAGGCTCTGATCAGCAGAGAGCCCGACGCGGGGCTTGAACCCATGAACCGTGAGATCATGACCTGAGCCCAAGTCGGATGCTCCACTGACCGAGCCACCCAGGCACCCCTGTTTTTATCTGTTTCTTATCAAGATAGAACAGCTGAGTGATACAAAAGAGTAATGGATTGGCACTCAGTTGATCTGGATCCTGATTCTGATCCTGATCCTGATCCCCACGTCTGCTGCCCAGGAAGAGCCTTTAACCATGTGGGAGTCTCCTGGCTTTTCTGTGTCTCACTTTTCAACTCTAAGCTATGAAGTTGGTTTAGATTATTTTTAAAAATCCTTTCCTTCTCTGAAATTCTAAGATGTAGCATCAGGACCTTTTGTATTCCCTATATTTATTCATACGATTCTAGATTCCCCAAATACATATTAGGGGTGAGGGGGATAAGAAAATAACATGCAGGGCCACATAAAGTTTTTTTAAAAACTTCAAAACATTTTGGTATGAGCTTCTGCTTCTCAGTTTCAGTGAACTTAATATTCTTCAGTGGATTTTAATCATTTTTATTTAAACAACACGTTAACAAAATTTTTTCATATCCATTATTGCCTTTTCTTATTTTAACTTCCTTTAGAGTTACTTCTTTGGTGCTGAGACTTTTTTTTCCTCTTGTTTAGAATTTTGCGCAGTGATGACGTATACTCGTCAATTAATTGGAATTCATCTCTAGTCAGACCAGACCAGACTTGGTAGACCTCATCTACTTTGTCTCCCCCTTCCTACCATCTTGAAAACGTGATCGTTATTTGCAGCGTTGTGCTTGGTTTCCTGTATTTCTTTAGGACTTGAGCCAGTCTCAAGGGTAGAGTGAATTATTGACAGGAGCTTGCACTGTAGGGATCTGGCTCGAAAGTGCTCACGAGTTATCTGTTTGTCCAAGTCAGGTGGCAGTCAGTTAAGTATGACTTCCAACTCCCTCTTTGCTCTTGGGTATCTTAAATCAATAATTTTAGGTGGTCTTAGCTGAGTGCACTGATAAGTAGGTTTCCCCCCCCATGTTTCCTCATGATTTTCCAGTTACTCAGAGGTGAAGAGAAAGACTCCACACATGTAGAGGAGTCATGTTAGATACCTAACAGTGGCCACAGTGTAAAACTGCCACAGTTCAGTGCAGAGGGAAACGTTTTTCTTTCTTTAAAAATTTTTTTTTTTCTTTTTAACGTTTGTTTATTTTTGAGAGAGAGAGAGAGAGAGTGTGTGAGTGAGCGCTGGGGAGGGGCAGAGAGAGAGGGAGACACAGAATCCGAAGCGGGCTCCAGGCTCTGAGCTGTCAGCACAGAGCCCAGCGTGAGGCTGGAACTGATGAACTGCGAGATCATGACCTGAGCTGAAGTCAGAGGCTTTACTGACTGAGCCACCCAGGTGCCCCTGCTTTTCTTTCTAATTATGGTCCACGTGGAATCAGACTTTTCAGGGTGGAAGTGTGTCCTCCGTATCTTCGCTTCCATTCTCCTTAATCTCTAGAATGAAAGATATTGGAGGTTCATTTATTTCACAGAATTCCAGAATCAGCAAAAACCTACAGAGTTTGATGAAACATTTTAAGTGGTTTGTCAGTAAAAAAAAAAAAAAAAAAAAAAAAAAAAAAATCCTCTCTAAAACCTCATGTCTAGTAACTGTTATGAAGCTGGACATAGGGTGCAGTCTTCAATAATCACTTCTTTTTTCTTAAAATATCAACCACAACAAAGCTGCTAATAACTTGATTTTGCAAACTTTAGTAGCAAATTAGATAAGTCCAGAAGGCTGTTTTTGTGAGAAATCCGGGAGTATTTGCCAAGCTTATCAGTGAATCATTGTTTCTCTGATAGCAGGAGAGAATTTGACATAACATTTTCTTAAAAAGTATACGCTACCCACACCAAAGAGGAACTGAAACAGAGCACTTCAGAATCAATTGTGCTTTAAGTTTCATATCTTGGAGTTTGGATTCAGCAGAGACTCTCTGTACTGCTTTAGAATCACCAGGATAGGAAGGGCCAAAGAATTAATGAGTGTATGTATTAGACTTGTCTACGATCTGGATGAACGAATTCATTACAAAAAAGAAGGAGGCATAGATTGCTTGTGGTAGTTACTCAACAAGAAAAGAAGTACAGAAACCAGGGTTTATTTTCTTTCCCCTAGTTAACTGCTTCACAGAGATAGGCTGACCATGATTTTACTACCAGTCTTTATTTATAGCAGTTAAGACTACTGACAAGGAAATATAAAAATAGTCGCAGATTTAGAGAGATATGCTAAGGCAACAGACCAAAGAATTCTGTTCTGGAAGATTTTAGCAAAAAGGACTAATGCAGGTTGCAGGGTTAGGGAGAGTGTTTTTCATTGTCTTCTTCACTTAGCTACGCTGTGAAAACTCTTCTGCTTTGATACTATGTAGAAAATGTAGCTGTCCAACAGGTTGAATGAAGTGGGTAGAGGAAAAAAAAAAAAACCAAACCCTAGTCAGCTGATGGTCTTGTGCTTTGTGACAAGCTTCACCGAGAGGTTGAAATTGCTGGGTGTGACTCTTTCCGATGCATTGAGAATTGCTGTCACAAGTTCTTCTGCCCTTTCTGCATTCCTTCCCTTTTCACTGATTTTATGTGCCACGAGGAATTTTCTTTGACTAGCGAAGAGTTTATTTCCACTGGTTGATGGTTGGGATTTAGAGATATAATTTGAGAATATGTGAATGAATGAAAGCATGCAGTGGTAACTTAATGTTGCTGCAAAGTCACGTCTAATTTAGGTTTAAAAACATTCAACTTGACCCTCTGAGGCCACGTCTCTTCTTGGGAATGAATCAGAGCAGCCTTGGTATAAAGGGGTTTTGAAGGGAGTGTGAACTTGCTTCCTGTAGACTGACAACTGACATAAACTCTTATCCTGATAAGTGTTAGTTACCATAACTAGTTATGTCCAGAAGACTGTGTTTCAGACAGAGGACAAGGATACTCCAACTCTGGGGTCTGCAGCCCAAGTCATTGGGCAGCTTCTGAAGCCTTTATCCCTCAAGTTCCTGCTCAGCTGTACACTGAACTGGAATACTCGGCTGCACGGGTCCATGATTCCTGGTTCTTCTGTTAGGACTCCTGTTGTGAGTCAGGCTGTGGCTTAGCCTTATCCTTTTATTGTTATAGTAACAAAAGCTGAATAACTGCTGAATAATGATGCAGCAAGCCCTGGTGGGAATTGGTGAGAACAGTAATCTGTGACCCATCTAAGATTATAATTAAACTCCCCATCAAAATTCACCAAAGAAAGAGAATCTAGCCTTTGGGCTCTAGAAACACCAAGATCCCTGGCAATTCTCTTCCCCTTTTGTGGGATCCCAAATTTATATGGATTGTTGGGTATCAGGTGTATATCCATCCATTAGAGTTTTATCTTGAAGGGTTTAATCCTTCTCTTATTAGTTTAGAAAGTTTAAAAAAAATACTCTTAGGTCTTTATAGAACAGATGTCAATTAAAATGCTATCTTTTTTTTCTTAAAGTTTTTTTTCAATGTTTATTTTTGAGAGACAGAGTGTGAGCGGGGGAGGGGCAGAGAGAGACAGAGACCCGGAATCTGAAGCAGGCTCCAGGCTCTGAGCTGTCAGCACAGAGCCCGATGCAGGGCTCAAACCCAGGAGCTGTGAGATCATGACCTGAGCTGAAGTCGGAGCTTAACCTATTGAGCCACCCAGGCGCCCCCCCCCCTTTTTTTTTTCTTGATGTGCCCTTTCCTTTCACTT